GTGTTTGCAATTCTTAACATGGCTTCTGTTGAGGTTTTCTTCACTTAGGATTAAAATTAAAACCTTCTGTGTCCTCCCTCTCTTTTTTGCCTCCTGTAGTCTCAAAGTAGCTTTCCAGTCATTAACTGGGTCCTATGATACCTTGTATAAGTTATTCAAAAGTGACAAGATTCCATCTCACCCACTCTTTACCCTGAGTTAGTATGGAGGCTGCATCAATTTCAAGCAGTTTAAGATGCCATAATACTTTCTCATGTGTAAGCCTTGCCCACAGAGGGAAGAGATAGGAGTTTTCATTGTACAAAAGGCCTTTATGGATGACTATGATTCAATAACTTAGGAAAAGATTTTTCAAACTTCCAAAATTTTCAGTAGACTTTTGAAGCAGAACCCCCTTTGCTGCATAGGTGTTCATGAGCTTTAGACTTCAAATAGCTCTAGGCTAGGGTCTTCAGAAATCATAATTAAGTATGTAGAGCTTTGTGGGCTGTGCTCCAAAGGGCTATTAAGTTAATTTCTTAGGGTTCAAGGGGGTTTGACTTTCTGTTAATTGAGCAGCTGCTCCCACTGCTAACTAGCAAACTACCCTTTAAACAGAGTAGAATTTCAAAAAATCCTTTGAACTTTCAACATTTACACTGGGTATGCCCCAGCTGCTAGATCTGCACAAGACAATATTTGGATCGTGGCCATGATTGTGTGTGTGTGTGTGCATGTGCACACAGTAGTTGTCTCCTTGCATTTTTTAGAGTTTTAATCCAGATTTGTTTCATCATCTGCATCCTAGGTACCTTCAGTGTGCACCTCCTAAAATGAGGCCACTATAATTAATCTCATTGTAATGAAAGCTCAGGAAGCACAGGGTATATTTTCTAAACATATTGCATTTGATTTACTGACATAGCCATTAGTGAGATGGTTTTAAAAGAGATTATACACAATTAATGGTGGATAAAGCTATCAAGCATGTTTAAACTCCCATGTTGGGAGGGAAGATACGGATGAAGCCAGTTGCTGGAGAAGAGTGGGAAAGCGCTATTGCCCGCAGGCTTTACTAACAGATTCCTTCGAGGTGGAAAAATGTGGAAAACAGGATGCAAAACTCAAGAAGCCTCTGGTTTGATTCCACAGGACTCCCTGGTTCCTAAAGCACCTCCTTTAACCTTTCCTGAGGTTGCTTTCCAGAACTTACTTAGCGAGTGGCTAGTGTGGTTTGTTCCAGGGTGGATGAGAGGAAGCATGGAAAAGAGACTGGAGCATCAGTTCTCAGCTCCAAGGTTAGAGTGCTGTCTCCAGCCTTGAGGGGAGCTGGGAATTGAAAGTATCCCATGGCCCCTCAGACAGTAGAGAATAAAATATAATTGCAAAGAAACAGCTCACTAATTACTAGAGCTGAGTCATCTCCAGAGCTTTAATCCTCCAACAAATGAAAATGTTTTGCTTTAAAAGAGGTTAGTCAGTTCTCCAGGTAAGTCAAAAAGCACTCATTTCCTTTGTAGCTTATTATCTTTAAACAAGGAATAAGGATAAAACATTTTATCACTGTGGCAAAGCAACTCTGACCAGCTTTGGCAGATCCAGTGCAACAAAGGGGGGCGGGGGGTGTTAGCTATTAAGAAGCATGCTTTTAAAGGCCAAAGTCAAGTTTTGTGCCATGAACTGTACCACCAATATGAACATTACACAGTTTGGAGGCAAGAGTTCATAAATTGGGAAAGACCAAAAACAGCAGCAAATTTTCTAAAAGCAAACAAAACCTAGATGGCAGATTAAAATAATTCTTGCATGGCTCTAAGGAGCCTTTCCTGACAAGACAATTATTGTGCGTCCATTATTTCTTATATCCAGCTGTTTATAGATTCTTTAGATGATGATCCTCCAATTTTACATCCTCCTGGACTATTGTTTAATGTGGAATATTAAACAATATTATTACAATATTAAAAAGGTTAAGACCTTTATATTTAATCAATATTTTAATATGTTTTAATATTGAATGTTATTATTGTATTTTATTAACTTGCAGCCAGAGTGGGTCGTCAATTTATGCTGTTAGCCATCCAGAGACGTTAGTAATTGGACAGCATACAAATTTTATAAATAAAAAAAAATACAATCTGTTTTTAAAAAGCAGTTTCCTGCAGGTTCTTTTTAGAGCAAGGAAAATTTCTGAAGGCATCAGAAAAGGTATTTTCCCACTTGTGTATTTGTGCCACCTAGAGGCAGAAAAGCAGGCAAGGAAAAAAAGCTCTGTATAAAGCTAGGATCTCAATTCTACAACAAAATTGAAAGTACATAGATATTGTTGGGAAAATTTGGATAAATCCTGGCAGAAAAACGTTGCTTCTGGGTGCTTTTTTATTATAAAATCATTCCTGCACTCCTTCTCAAAAGCACCAGCTTTCCAAGCTAAGTCGCTGTTTAAAATGGCATTCCTCCCTGCTCTTTTCTCTCACCTGTAGCTGTATGCCAGTGTAGACAGGCCAATTAGTCGAATATATATTATATACATTCACAATGTAGCTAAATGATCCTTGTAGGAATTCAGTTTACCAGGAAGTATCTATTTTGCTAGCCCAGAGCGCTCCATGTGCCCTGGCCAATCAGAATGGTGAGGATACATTACTCAGGGTCTGAATCTGGATGAGCTTATGAGTTCATGAATGGTTTCGCAGTAGCCTGAATTTACATGTCTAAGCAGACCTGGAGATGGGTTCAAGTCTCTGGAAGTTACTCCACTGAAATGTCAATACACTGCAATTAGAAACAGTGTAATCTCATTGTCACTGTATGATTGGATCTTCCTTTATCTGTTCTGTATAGGATGACCTCAGAATTTCATTGTAATGTCTGCATTCGGTCATCAATTGCACTGTACCTGTGTACGTGACTAGGAGAGTATAAAATAACCTGTAATTATAATTTATGTACTATTGTATTTCAATGTATTTTATCATGTTGTAAGCCGCCCCGAGGTTTCGGCAAAGGGCGGCATAGAAATGTTATAATAATAATAATAATAATAATAATAATAATAATAATAATAATAATAATTATATTGAAACCTCACAGTCGAGGCCACCTCTGCCTACCCGGTAATGCATTATCGGGAGTACGGACCCGCTGGGAACCTGGGCCAAACAATAAAGCAGCAGATGGTCTTAACGCTTGATCTTTCCCACAAACTGTTTCAGTTACTGTTCCTTTTGAATGCCCTTTCTAGGAAAGTACACATGGCCAGCACCCATCATTGCTGGCTTTGAAAGATTATTAAAGACATTTTTATTCCTGTCTGCACGTGGCCAATTTTAATGTTCCTTGCTTTTAAAACTGTGTATTGGCTATAAATTAGTGGACTAGATGGGATATTTTATTGATATTATTATTTTGTGCATTTTAACATTTTGTAAACTGCCTTGTGAAGACAGGGCATCTGAAAGGGGAGTTTAATGTTCTTTGAATTAGATACATAAGTAAGGCTGCAATCCTAACCTAGCACAAATATTTTGATTAGCAAGATAAAGAGGTGGAAGAATGCATGTAGTGAAAATTTAATCCTGTTTCCAGAGCAATATGGCATTCACATAGTGCTTGTTCAAGTCTGTGGAAGGTTTTAGCTGCTTGCAAAGGAAGTCAAATATGCTCTCATCTGAATGAACCAGATGTCTCATGCTATATTAATTATTCCTTTGATACATTTAGGAGATCAGGATGTGAAGTACTGCTCCTTTGACTGTGTTTGTAAACAATTTTATTCATAAATATCTGTTTTATCCATAAAAGTCTGTTTTATGGGATGAAGAGACTATACAGTAGTGAAACAGTGTTTTCCAGCAATAGCTTGACAAATAACTTTAATCTTCATCTATTTATAAAACTGGCTCATTTATATCATGCCAACACTAACCATAGTTTAGCCTGCAAGCTTTGGTTTGAACTTCCCTACGGTCAATGAATACACCATGGTTGTCCTTTCGGTTTATCAGTTTCTCAGGATTAAAGTTTATATATTCACTATTATAGTGCAAGGGCCTTCAGAAACAGAACTATTGCTGTAATTCACAAATGTTTGGCATTTCAGATATCACACAAAATTAGTTCGCAGAAATCAGTGGTGGGGAACAAGCTGGACTGCAGTGCTAATCTGCCCTAGCCAGCATAGCTAAGGCTGAGGGATGATGGGAGTCTGCAATCCCAGAACATCTAGAGAACCATTCCCCATTCCCTGCATAAGCCACAGTCTGTAGTTCCACTTGAATGTAAACCATTGTGTCTGATTCTTTGTTGTGATTCAGACATCATGCCAAGCCATAGTTAGGCTTCCTTGGCTGTGATTAATTTGTATCAATAAGGAATAAGGACTTTTAGGAACTCTTGTAATACTAACTGTAAGAATAGTGTGTTATCAATCTTTCCCTCTCTTGGAAACCTTTCATTGGATTTGTGCCTGATGATCTTCATTAGACTTCAGAATTTATGAATAAAGTCCATGCCAGTTAATTGTTCAAAATATGACTGCCATTCAAAGGAAAATGTGGGCTGTACACTGTGCAAAGTACAATTGTGGCATTTTACAGGTATGCATTCTTTTAAACTTATTTGAAAAACCAATAGGATACAGAATTAAAAGAACTGAATGGTTTAAAAAATTTTATGAAGGTAGCAAATACAAGATAAAATAAGGCATATAAAAAATGAAAATATTTGAAATATATAAACAATTTATACACTCATGACTGTACCATTTAACTATATACCAAATTATTTACAAATATACATATATATGATTACAGATTAAATGGCTATTTTTCTTTTTTTGTTGTTGTTGCAAATTGATATTTTAGCATTGCATCAAATCAGAACTTGTATAATGCTATTATACAATTTTAATCTCATTTATTACACAACTTTATATTATACATATATACATACACCTGCACACATCCCTATCTTGGCAACATGACTTCTTATCTTCCAGCTGTTTTCAATATGCATGACAATCAGAGTTTTGTTTGAGGTGGTGCCTGCAGGGTAGACAAAAGAAATAAGCCAGTTATATCAGAAGAGTATTTGCAACACTTTTTGGTGCGATTCTGTGTGGCTGCCTGTAACTTTCCAAACACAGAAGTTTACAGGTGTCCAATCAAGTATGGAAGGCTGCAGAAATGAGGATTGCTCCATGTTCCCCTTGTCCTCAGAAATGTTTAGACAGTCAATTTGGTCTTCTAAATCTTTTCACCCTGCTTGTGAGGAGATGAGGCAATGGATGGATCTGGTGGAAGCCAGTGGTGCCTCAGCCCTCACCTCTCTGCCTCCAGAACAACCTCGCCCATGCCAGACCCAAAGAGAATCTTCTGTCTTTGGGATCTCAGCTGGATTGGAAAGAACCCTGCTGGCTGAAGGAACAGAAGGGGGGGCCTCTGAAAGTGGAGTCCCTGCTGCAACTTTGAAAGGCTTGACTGAGGTTGCAACAGGTACTCTGCCTTTTATTTATTTATTTAATTATTAAAACATTTCTATGCCGCCCCATTCGCCGAAGCCTCGGGGCGGCTCACAACATAAAGTGTAAAGTCTATGTCCTTTTTTTGAGTCTCTTTAGCACAGTCTCAAGAAGAAAATGTTTGGGTTGCTGAAATCAATCCGACCAACGCAAAAATGCACACAAAAGAAATCCTTTGTTGAACTGGTGTTGCACAAACCTGTTGCTTGCCTAGGCTAAAGAGAAATGTGCTTTCTGCTGGACAATGAGAACAGTTTTACACAATTTCTTATTACAGAGATGATACTCTCCCACATAGATACAAAATGCACCAACCCATTGTTAACACAAACAAACATTTAGATGAACATATGAGTGCTTATGTTCATGGAAAGAAGTTTTGAGAACTTGCCATTTTAGCTGCCCACATCCTGGGGCTGGCAAATGGGCTGAGTCCCCAACAAACATTAGGCTAACGTGTAGATCTTTCCTGGTGCACCAATACCATATTAGCTAGCTTTTTTCCTCCACCAGCTTGGACCAAAGCAAAACTTGTTCCAACTCCTTAGAATGTATTTCCACCAAATGCTTTTGCAAAAGGTGTAGCCAATTTCAATCAAATGAGCCCTCTGAAGCCAAATTAGTTAGGTCTGACCATGCTGTTTTAAATCAAAATACCAAGTGCTTGCTTCGTGACAACCCCACAGGTGCCACCCATGGCCATTTCACACCACCCTGCAATTTGATGCAGAGGTGTCCATGGGGTATTAAGCCGAGATTCTGAACCCCCCATGCTTCCTGGGAGACCACAACCAAAGCCAATGTGCAATGAGGTTCAAGACCAGATCTAATTACATTGACCCGCCTGCGAAACGGAAGAGATGGCCAGTATCTGTGCTCCCCCAGTGGAGAGAATTTTGGCCGAACTTACCATCTCTCCCACCGAGGATAAAGGGCCAAAAACCCACAATCCCACCTTCGTCGCCAAATTGTCAGAATCCTGGAATCTCAATTTGAGAAGAGGAAATAAAACTCGGGGTCGTAGGAAAGATCAATCATTATGAACCTCTGCGTCTTTAATGTCTATCCCAGGTTCCCGCGGTTGACTCACGATAATGCATTACCGACCTAGCAGAACATCTACTGGCCATAGGATCGTGCTCCTAGATAGTAAAGCTAGAGGACTTTCTCAATTATAGAAGCATCTTCTTCTAAGAACAGGTCAGTGCCTGAACTCTGAAGTGAGCTATTATGCCTTGCTACACCAGACTTGTGAGTTCTACCAAGGAATTCATCCAGGTTAACTTCAGCTTCTGCACAGATAGGTTAAGTAATGAATTGTGTCTTGTAAATATGTGGGGGCAAAACACTAGAAAAAAATTGGTGGCAGATGAACATGTATTGCTTTACTTATTTTTACCATAATGCATGTAAATAGTAGTCAGGCTACTTGAAAGAGTAAAGGAAAGTAGGCCCCTGGATGGGCAAAATTTTTAATTAAAGTGTTAATGACTGCAAGTACTTCTTTCTTGCTGTCCCTTTCAAAATAAAGGGACTATCCACGCATACCCTTTAAATAAGCTACCTCAATTTCCAAAATGCTATTTATTGATTATATTGGGTTGAAAAGTGTGCCTTACCATGAACTCTCGACTGCGCAGTTCTCCATTTGTATTGATTATGTAATGATCATTCATCTTTTCCTGTGATGGATCAAATGTACTAGAGTTATGGAAAATATTGCTTACTCTTTCATTCAAGGCATCAGGTAATTGCTAATTTTGCTAAACTGACATCATTCACTGTTCTATCAGTTTGAGGTTCTACTCAGCAGGAATTACATTATGTTAATAAGTATTTTCCCTGTTTAAGTTACTTCAAGTTATTAGTGTGCCTTTTGGGTATGGTTGGACGCTCCGTGGTAGTACTATCTTCCCCCGGCCTATTTCCAAATGTACAGCAGAAGTCTCCAGGGGAAAATGGATACAATTCACCTTCTATAAACAAAGATGCTACTGATAGTGGTGAGCTAACCCAGGTGAAAGGCAGCATGTTATGCTGCTATTTAACACCTAATCAGTCTGCAGAAAGACTACAATCATTCATGATTTAATTGTGGACAAGAAGGTAGATCTGTCATGTGCTACTGAGGCTTGGGCAGGTGAGCTTGGTAGGGCTGGCCTGACTCAGCTCAGCCTACCTGGGTACTTAGTGTGACACTAGTATAGGTTGGAGGGCCTGGGGTGGCAGGGAGTCACTATGTTCAATGTCCCTGATCAGGAAAATATTTTATGTTGAAGTGGGCCTTGAGGGGATTCCTCTGGTGCTGGTCCATGGAGACAGACTGGGGATGCTCTTGCTGAACTGCACACACTAAAGCCCAGCAGCCTCCTTGACTGAGCTGGCAAGAAGTAGCCTCAAGTTTGGTAAAGAAGCAAACCAGGATAGTGGCATGGAGTGACTTTAAGCTCCATGCCAAAGCTGATTCTGGAGCATGGGACTTCAACATCTCATGAGGCTGTCTCAGTTTGTCATAGGCTGAACACACAAAGCAGGTCCTACTCTTGATTTGGTTTTGCTTCAAGCTATGAGATAAATAGTCTGAAAATTGTGGTAGTGGCCTGGTGGTTGCGTTCATAGTTAGATCATTTCCCAGTGAGAATTGAATTCAAGGCATTATTTCCCTCCTGCAGAGATGGGGCACCCATTTAAATGCAGACTAATGGAATCCAATGGATTTCTGAGTGCTCTTTGGGATTTTCCAGTAGAGAGAACTGGTGGTCCAGCCTAGGCCCTAGTCTCACTGTAGACCAGTTAAGTGGAGAGGACCATTGGCCTGATTGCACCTGAGTGTCATCTCTGGTGCTTTGGACCCTGCTCTGCTCCTTGATATACTGGGGACCTACAGTCAATAAAACAGACTGTACATCAGCTAAACAGCAAATGGCACAAGAGAGTGAAGATGCCTGAGCATGCTCTATGTCCCATAATGGGCAGCGAGGTTTATTTTGCTGCCTCCATTGCATCCAGCAGAGTTCTTTAGAGTGGTCCGGGGCCTGTTAGCCTTCTTCCCATGAATGGGGCCCCGGTCCCCTCCAGGCCTCGCTGTGACCGTTTTGCATCACACTTGGAGGGCATAACTGCTTCCCTCCACAGCAAACATGATGCATGTCCTTGACTTGACTGATGCTACCATCTTCCTTATTTTATGAGTTCAATATAAGTTGCTATGGCCTGGTGACATGGACAAAGTTGTTCATCTTTTGTTCACCACTCAGGAATCTATTTAGATGTGAAGCAGTATATAAATGTAATAAATAAATAAATGCTCTTACCATAATGGGCTTGAATTTTGGTGAATTGAGCACAATATCCCTTTTAACCAATATATATAAAACTGCATCATGAATAGTAAGGAAAAACATGGTTGGCTTAATTTCATCATCAAAAAATTCAGATATTTTCAATTTATCAAGAAGGCCATCTGTGGTGGGGGCAGAAAATAAAACAGATTTACAGACCTAGAAGTGAGTTCAGGAAAAAAAAAACAGTCACACATTATATTTGAATGAATGCAACATAGTTTCTTTCCAGTGCCAGCCCTAACCTTATCTGGTTAGCTTATAGGACAGGCTTGCACACTAGTATGAGTAATTAGGACACTCATTTCCCCTTGCTCCCTGTGGAATGCATTGCTATACCATTTCCACAAACCCTGCAGCACTGGGTGCAGCTTCATTTGGTGAAAAGCAAGAGGAGGAACCCATGTGACCTTGACCATTCTCTGGGGAACAGTATTTCTAAAATCTATCTTTCAGACTAAAGTACAGTCCATTTTAGCATGCAGAGTTGCAAGAAAGCTCCACTTAATTTCTTGACAGTAAATACCATTAGGATGTTAGAGACAGACTCAGGTGTACACTTTGACCATGTTATTGCTGTTGTTTAGATATAATAGACTTGGGCCAACTTACCATATGCTCCCACAATATATACATCCACATCAATCCTGACAAATTCTTTCAAAGTCTGTCAAAGAAAAAATAAGTGGCAATTATTGAAGGGTTGACTGAAGTGTGTAAACATTACAGAAATGTTCAGCTTTCTATCCACAGAGTACTGGTCCTAGGGCTGCTTCACACAAGATGAGCTTTTCCACAGCAAGTAGCCTTTGGCTGACTGTGGCTTCATCATGCTGTAGGCAAAATGTAAACAGTACATTTCTCATGCATGGCAAATGAAGATGGGGTTCATGCAATTTACTCTTGGGATCATTCCAATTAGTAATATTGACTAACAATTGGTTTTGAGTGCCTGCAAATGCTTGCCCATTTGCAAATGTTTAGTGTTGTTAGTGGCAATACCGTTTCCCCCACTTCAGATCAATCATAGCAGATCAAAACTAGTGGTAGTTGCTGACTCAGCTCTCCTTTTGTCAACACGTTCTGCACCTTACAATGCATTGTATTTGATGATTAAACTGTAAAATGGATGAAAATCAAAATATTTGGCTATTGGTGGGGTAGATACATTGGCACAATCCAGAAGAAATTAAAAATGGGGAAGGGCATGCATGATAAGGTTTCCCACATGTCTGAACTCCTTGTTTCATGTAGGAGAGCTGGGGGAGAGGCTTTCCCTAACCCAGTGTTTTCCAGCTGTGTTGGTCTGCAACTAGCTGGGGATGATGGAATTTGCAGTCCAGTGCATCTACAAGGCACCTGGCTGGGAAAGGCTGGCTTTGTGGCAGAGTACAGGCTTTGCATACGGAAAGTGAAAGCCTTCGGGTATAATCTCTAACCTGGCACAGGAAGCAGAATAGTCATGCAATACCCTCAAAAGGATCCAGGAGCAGCATTTTCAACTAAAGGTATCTAAGGAGCCTCTCAAGTAGCACACAATGGGAAGGACCCCTGCCGGGAGTCAAGGCAAGTTAGAGTGGGCTTGATCAGCTTTAGATGCTTGGTTTTGGGTAGCACAGCATTCACAGTGTAGCAGTTAAGAAAGTGAGCCTGAAAGTTCCCATTGCCTCTGCTATGAGCTTACTGTGAAGATTTTTGCATGGGGCCATCTCCCAGTCTTGGCATTCCTCCCTGCCATCTGCAATATGGACTCAATAATACTGGCCTCTCTTACTGCACTGGCATTAGAATTAATGAAATAATGTTAAGTGATATGGTTTGAACACTCCATCCATGCTGGTTACTAGTATAATATTGTGATCATAAGCCACTTTCATGTCTGGAATTGAAAAGTCAGCTTTTACCTATCATTTCCGTATGGTAATAATTTTGTCTGTTTCCATGCCTCCCCCCGCCATCCCAGTGGCTCTTTTTGGTATCTCCTTGACAGTTTTAATAACTAGTAGATCTCTGCATTGCTAATTCTGTGGTTTGTAGGGTTGTTTTTTTTAATAATGGAAGCATCTATAGAGAAGATGAAGAATTGGAAGTCACCTTGGAAATCATCTAGCCTGCCCAAACTGCAGAATCTTTGACAGATGGCTGCCCTACCTCTGTTTAAACACCTCCAGTGAAGATTTCCCCCAACCCCAGGCATGGGAGAAAAAGAATGCAATGTAACGCAATACAAGAATCTTATTTTTATCCCAGTGTAGCATAGTAACTGGAGCACTGGACTATGAGTGTTGGACCTGGGAAAGCCAGGCTCAAACCCCCACCTAGCCATTAAACTAACTGGATGCTAGCCACCATTTCTCAGTCCAATCAACCTCACAGAGTTATTGTTAAGATAACACTGTGGTGTGGACAGAACACTACATACATTACCTTCAGCTTCTTGGGGGTAAAACAACATATACATGTAATTGAAATAAATAATATTCTACTTTTTCATTGACTGGAAGTTGCACAGAAGGCAATTACCTCTTTCAGGATTCTCATAGCGGAAACATCAAGAAATGATACTGCTGAGAAGTCAAGGATGATGCTGTGGATGTCAACTCTTGGAACGCTGAGGTTGAGAGGAAGAGGAGAGTTCCAGTCTATCTGAAGTGGCAGATCTTTGGTATTAGTAGGCTGATCCAGTTCTTCAATTCTGTTGTTATCCAGCTCTTCATCTGAATCATTCATACCATTAACAGTACAGAGATAACCTTTCTGTGTTGAAAAAAGAATACAATCAGAATGATAAATATTGATAAAGAAATGGCATCGAACACTTCAGCTGGCACTCAAGGTAAGCTGGTAGTTTTTTGTTTGTTTGTTTATACATACATACATACGCTTTCTAGCCTGCCCCATTAGCCGTACAATTTCCTGGGCTGGTTACAACAACAGCATACAAGATGAAATACAGAATAGTATAAAATACAGAGTAAAATGCAATATAAAACAGTAGTTACAAAGACAAGCATTAAAACTAATATAAGATGCACAAAACTGATGACAAAGCCAGAGTTAAAATGATACTTAAAACAGGTTAACAATTAAAATACCACCAAAATAAAAAGGTTTTCTCCTGGCACCTAAAATAATGTAAAGAGGATGCCAGGCAAACCATTCTGGGGAGCTTGTTCCAGAGCTGGGGTGCCACTGCAGAAAAGACCCTTATTTGCATGCCAGCTTCAGAGAACGTATGCAAGAGACAGCAAGCATAGCACTCTAAATACTTCTATAGAATTCCAGGCTCTAGGTAGGAACAGTCATTTTCATTTGAAAAATGTGGAGCTCATAGTACACTCATTGCTGAAGAATCTGTCGACTTGTTATAATCTCAAATCCTTTCTCTGACCATCCCCAACAGAATTCTAGTTGTGCCTCAGTGCTAGTATCTGCTCCCACCACTGCCTTGTGATTATAGGTCTTGACTCCTTTTTAAATGAACACGAGGAGTGGAATTCTTGTAGAAGCCACTGCTTTTCTTACATTTGGACAATAGATCTTATATTTAGAAATGTGCCCCAAATGTTATTTACTTAATTGATGTCGTACTTTGCTAAACCAGGAGTATCAGCAAACAATTATTTGGCCCTTTTGTTTTTTATCCAAGAAGCTTTGTTCAAATGAATGGGGCACTTGAAAATTAGATAGCAGGTTTGTATCTGTCATCTCATCAATTCAGGTACTTACAGGGGTCACTTGGAGCTGTCCCTTTTTCAGCATTCTTCTGATTTTCCTCAAAGCTTTGTTGCGCTTGCGTAGAACCCTCAGTGGTTTAAAACCAACCTGCAGAATTATTATTTTTATTGTTTAGCATGAACTTAATATATCTAAAGATAACGAGAAGTTCATTTCATAAGGGCCAACATTATTTCCATACATTTCCAGTAATTTTTAAAAGAACCCTGAAAGATAGATTAATAGTATTAACTCTGCTATTAGTGCTATTATCCCTGCCTTAATCAGAAATATGCATAAGACTTGTGCCTACATGCTTCATTTTTGCACAGTTCTTTCCTTCTTCAGCATGCCACAACTGAATTCCTGGGTTAATTAACCATAGTTTCCTATTAAATCCAAACTGGGAAACTAACCTTTGAAGTTAGTTTCAGATACTGGTTTGTTCCATACCTTGCAACCAGAGTTTCCTAGTTTCAGTGTGGTACACCAAGAAGGCAGGCAAGCAGTGCACACACATACAAGTATCCTGCATGTCTCCAGGACAAAGCCTTGGCTTTGGCGGGCCACTCCCACAGAAGGGCTCTCCTACAGCCTTTGCCCCCTACATGCTTTGCTGCCACTTGGACGTGTGTGGCAATGTTATCAGCCTCTTCCTCCTCTGGTCTGGCTGATTTGGTTATGTGGTAACAGCAGCAAGGAAATCTGAAGGGTGGCAGTCAAAGGGCTGCTCAGCTTTGATCTGAACTGGAAAGCTACCTTTTTATGCTACACAATGTAATGCCTGTTGTTGCCATAAAAATGGTGGTTGCTTGGTTCTGACTGGAGCTGAGTGGATTCTCAGACAGCTTTCAGTCAATTAAATGCCTCTGCTGGGTAAGCCAGGGATCCTTCCCAGATGGCTGGAACTGGTGAGGGGGGTCCAGGAGACAAGGCATTAGTGCCAGTGGACCCCGACAGGGCACATGGGCCATAGCAGTGTTCCAGCCATGCCAGGTGCTGACACCAGGCCTTTGAGTCACACCTCAATAAGCTGCCATGTGCTATGCTGAAACCAGGCCAAAGCTAGTCTTTAAGGTGTCTTTGCAAGTCCCCTTGTGAACTTGGAAACAGCTCTCAGTGTGACTATAATTTTACTCTGGGAGTGGTGCAGAATTAAAGGAAGGTGCTATTATTTGAGGGATGGGCACCTTCTGCCCATCTAGATAGCACTGACTATAGTTCTCCTCAGGCCTGGCCAGCATAGCCAATGCTGAAGGATTATTGGAATTGTAATCTAAAGCATCTAGAGGACTACATCTTGCACAGCACTGTATTATGTGGCGCACCTATTACCATCTGAGATCTCAGGGCTTTCTGGCTCATATACCACACACTTAATATGAAGAACATAATCTGGATCCAGTCCAATATTTTTCCAGTGCCACACATTTTCTCTTTTGTCCATTTTCATCACTGTCTACTTCCTTGCCCTGAACTGTAAGGAGTTTAAAGGGTTTGTTTGTTTGTCTGAGAGAGATCATCATTTGTATTCTTCTTGCTAGATGTTGTTATATGAATTGACCCTGAAAAAACAATTTAAAACCATAGTTTCACAGTGAAAATAGTGTGGGAAAAATCCCAATCTTGTCATAAATTGCTAGTTGAATGCTAGTTCTTACTAGTTTGTGCTATGTCTGCAATTTAGCTCTCTTTATATATTTAACAACAACAAAACTCCTCTGGACACTTTGAAGCTTTCCAAAAATACAGGAAGGAGAGGGCATATTTATTTTCCTCACAGTTCTTTAAGCCTACATGTTACATGAAAAAGTTGTTTCTATTAAAGAATTGTCACCACTAAAATACTTACTGCTGCAGTCAATTTGTCCTTGAAGAATTCAACATTAGCAAAGAAGATTGGAGATGGACACCTGAAGATCTTCACTCCCTCTGGCTCATATATCTAAAGCCACAAAATATTACCCATTAGTTAACCACATTCTGTCACAATCAACTTGCAAATATACAGTAGTAAAATTAGGAATCTTACATCTGTGTAATCTTTTCTGTTTCTGTAGATGTCACTTCGGCCAACGTTTGCCAAAAGTGTGCATTTTGGACTGCAAAATAAATGGAAAAATCAAATGAGTGTAGAGTTAAAGTGATCATTTCAACTATTTTAATATGAAGGTGGCTCATATATCTGTGCTACCGCCTTAGGATGCAATCCTATGCATAATAGGGTATGATTCCTGTTGAACACGTAGGAGGGTTCGGGCTCCTGCCCGAAACACAATATGAATAGGAATGTGCTATTAAGTGGGTTTAAAAGTAATTCCCTTATTCCAGAAAATCCTGATAATTGCAGTTCTGTCAACGTTCTTTAAGAGAGAGTTCTCCACAGTACATTTCAATGCGTATAGATTTTGGTCAGGGAAGATATAGTAGCTACTGCCTGTGAGGAATTGTGGAAGCTGCAGTCCAACACACCAGGAGAGCACTGAGCTGGAAATGGTTGGTGTAGGCTGCAAACTTCAGCCCAAAAAATCTGGGACATGTGACCACTCAAACTGGAACCAGCTGATTGACAATAAATTAAAACATAAAAAGGATAAACATAAAATATGATTCATTATCTGCAATAATTCCTTACTGTGCTCCTTAAAGTATCCCAAACTATGATTGCAAACAATTATTGCTGATAATGGATCACCTTGTTGCAGCGCATAATTTTTAGGGTTTCATGTGATGCACTGCATTTGTGATACCTTTGTGTTTTGCCATTACAGTGGTACCTTGGCTCACAAACTTAATCTGTTCCAGGACTCTGGTCGTGACCCAAATTGGTCGTGAGCCAAGTTGAATTTCCCCATGAGGTTCAATGTAAATAAGGTTAATCCGCTCTGCAACTATTTTTTTAATCAGAAAAAATTGAAGCAAAGTGACAAAGAACAACAAAGATCACGGCCATCTCCTCCTCCCAGCGATTGTGCGTGGGGGGGGGGAGGCAGGTGCAGGTGTGTGTGTGTGGGGGGGAGGCGGGCGTGGATGCGCTTGGGCAGGGGACATGGGCACAATCGCAGCCGTGGGCGCACTCATGATTGTCACCCAATGCACAGTTCACAACCTGCGACAAAATTTTTATGAAATATCTGTTCATGATCCGATTTGGTCATGAACTGAAGCATTGGTGAACTGAGGTACCACTGTATTAAGCTGTTTCAGTGGACAAGCAAAGTAGAAATAGAAGAAATATCTACTCACAACTGTGCACGGAATACAACGGTCAGGAGTTCAAATCCTAGTCCAGCTGCTAGTCCAAGATCCAGCCCCAGTAAAATAGCCGCAAGGAATGTCACAAGCCAGATAAGCTGCAAAAAATACCCCAAATCAGCATGAGTACTGTCAGTGATGGGCAAAAGCACAGAATCTCACATTCAAGAACACAACAAACTGGGTATAAGGCAAAAGACTGAACTGAGGGTTGAAGTCATGATAAAGTTGGTAGGAAGGGTTCATGGAAAAGATTTAGTACAGGGGGAGGCATTCCAGGCAATTTATAATGCTTGGGTTTATAATACATAAGTAAGCTTCCATGTGAGGCATTTATAATTTTACAGAGCATCCACACATCAACATCTTCCACAAGCAATCCTCATTTGTTTTCTCACCACTTTGCCCATCCTTTTGCTTACTGGGGAAAATACATTAAGGAAGAAAGATGGAATAGCAGCATAATTCTGATGACTGTCATTAGAATCTTTTCATCTAGAAGCACCCTTGGCAACTCTTTGGCTAGTGATGTAAGGAGTTCAGGAATATGACTGAGAGCACCACCTACAAAAAGTATTTCTTCTTGCTAGTTCAATCCTGTGTATTCTGATGAGCAACAGTTATCTGGAATTTCAAAAGGAACTTTTCCACCTGATGGTGTCATGCAAGGTAGCTGTGGTACTGTGTTCAGTATTGGTTATTTAAAGAGGATTGCTTCCCTGTTAATAAACTAGGTGCATTTTCTGTGACGGATTTGTACCTAGCCTTCTTATCAGGCCATGTGTATGGTTTTCTGAGCTGTCTCTGGAATGTATGGATTATTTGTCTTCCTCATAAATCAGGACTACTTAAACTCAGGACTGAGCAGGGGATGAATTTGGCCATCTTGATGTCCCCTTACTCTACCTACTTTTCCCTAAGCACCAATCACATGTTTCCTTCCTCCCTCCCTCCTGTTTTTTGCAGTTTTCCTACCTTTCTGCACTTCCTACAACCTACAATTCCTACAAGTGTTGTAACTCCAGCCCTAATGCTTACCCACTGGCCCTTAGAGCTATATGCAAAAATAAGCTAGTATTTTTTGGCCCTGCCGTTTCTTTTTCTTTTGCCTTCATTTGGTTCTTCATGGGAATGTGGCCCTGACAGCTTCTCTGAAATGGAATTTGGCCCTGAGGCTGAAAGAGGTTCTGCCCTTACATCATAGTCTTAAAATTACTGTTGCAGTCTTAGAGCAATACACAACACTGTGCGCATTCCACTTATTGGGAGGAAGTGCATTTGCAAATTGCACAATATTTCCATGAACTAACAAACAAAAAATTATGAGTGGCATCCATTCATTGAAGTCAAATATTGTAAATAGATTCAGCCATACTAGGATTCCCTTTTATGTGTATCACACAAATGTGTAATGACTCCAGTGGGATCTAGATTAGCCATGGCAGTTTTTATGAATAACCATATTTAAATATCTTTATTATTATTTCATTGATTTATTACATCTTATTACCTCTAAATGTGTATTTGGCCAACCCCAAAATGATATTGCAGGTGTATTTCATGCTAAGATTTGTTTTTATTTACTTACACAGTCATACTTGTCCTTTTTCCACAAAACTGCAATCTCTTTGAACTGCATCAGCATTCCCTTTAAATTGCCAAGAACCAAAGCAGCAAGAACTGACTGTCAATAAAAACAGAACACTAGTAAAGTTAGACAGAAAAAAGAGCACTTGATAATAAAAATAGAAATGTGTATTCCTGGGTAATGTTGTTGGTTCCCTCCTTATTCTTCCTGCTATGGGTCACTCAGGTGTAATGCATATTCTCCTGTATGTGGCATATGGACAACAAAAGAGATATAGATTTATATGAAGAAACCACCTTGTCTTTTCCATCTTGCAGCTCACTACAAAGAAGTGGCCACATATCTTGTGAACTTAAAAAGAGAGAAATTGTCCAGCATAACCCAGACATATTTTTTGTTAAATAGTTTTTTTTTTAAACACATAAATTATTCTGTGGAAGGGTTGTGATTCAAATAAAATTTGAATTGGGGCTCTGTAGAAAACTTCTCTCCCCTTATTCAGGTTAATTCAGGATTGTCCATGTGTATCTCCTCTTCTTTGAAAAGAGTTGTCTCAAAGTAGGTGAACAAAGTTTGATGCTTAAAATTCTGTGCTGTTAAATAACTATATAAATTCCAAGAGAGGCATCTGGACTATTGGCCAGAGAGAGGAAGCTTCTGCCTCTGTTTCTGAGTAAAACTGGAAGATGCACGCGCGCATGCACACACACATGCACATGCCAATTTTTTTTATTATCTATGTCATTAATAATATGAAACCATTAAAAACAGCAGTGTGGCAGGAAGTGCAAAGGAGCACTTGATGGTGATGCTTAACTGATAAAATATTCTTGCAGGTGAGATTCATTAAGCACTCAAGCCCTGGCATTTAGTGTCTTTAGATGTTTGGTTAAAATCTATTCACTTAAGCATTCTGTTTGCATATGTTTTATTTCCTTTTCTTTGGTTATTAATACTCCTGTTCAATTTTTGATCATTGACTTCTAGGCTTGTTTAACACACTTGTTTTCCATATTTTAAGTACTGTTAATCTCTATGCATTAAATATTTGTTGTTATTTTATTGTTGTAAGTCACCTTGATATTATCTTTGAAGTAGGTGGGGCCTAAGTTTTTAAAACAAAAACAAATGGGAAGTGGAGGATCATTCCACACCCCCCCCGCTTTTTTTTTTTTTAAATTGAGGATGAAATCTAAGGCCTTCTCATTCCTGATATGCAGCACTAGGTGTTGCTGCCATACCTCACCCCTTGCATCTCATGTACATGATCGGAAGGAAGGCAGCTGAGGTATTTGGTTTTTTGATTCCCACCACCAAGGTTGTGGGATCTTGGAGCCTGACAGAGTGATGCCCCCTTCCCCAAACGATGTTGAGAGGCCATGGGATTGCACCTTCACCTACCAAAATAACCCCAGATATCTTGGGTTATTTTCAAGCATCAAGCTTATAAGGTAATTCTTTCAATAAAAAACAATTGTGAATTGTGAGGGACAATTGTGAAGTAACACAGCCCAACAGGTGCACCCAGGCATTTCTGACTACTTTGTATATAGAAGTGGCTCCAGATTATTTCTGATGCTTTTGTGTACACAGTCCCCCTGTTGCAGATTGTCACTAGCTTTAGAGTGGTGCTACAGGACAAAGGAACATTCAAGCATTGCAGGCTGATATCAAAGCCTGATGAGGCAATATTGGAGATGAAGATATGGAAAAGATTTAAGCAACTTCTGGACCTGGCACGCTTTGGTGCCATTTTGTCACTTTCTACAGGAACAAAATATTGAATTGCTGTATCTATCCTTGATTTCCCCATCAATTACAGAAAGATAACACCCCACACTTTGAGGGTTTCATGTAGATCTGGGGTATATGTGACAATTGTGGCATCAGTTGGCATTGATCATTCAATTTCCCACCAATTCTGTAGGAAAGAATTGCAACATTGAGCAGGAATGACTTCTTAGGAACTAAAGTCAGTACCTTCTGCAATGGTTCCAGGAGAAAACCAATGGCCAGGATGGCAACCAGAACCACAATAGCTGAGAGGATGCCAGCAATCTGCATGAGAAAAGTCCAATGTAAATCTAGAACATGGTTAGAAAACAGCTTTCCTGAATTCAGTTCTTGCAGGACCTTGAATTGTCTGATACCTGAGTCTTCCCTCCCGTGCTCTCCTGGACACCAGACCTTGAAAGTGAAGTACTTGCAGCAAATCCTTTGAATATACCACAAAAGATGTTGCTTAATCCAAAGGCAATTAATTCCTTTAAAAAAATCAAGATTGTATTTATTTTAATGGCCAGACAAAGCATCATTTACACATTTTCCTATTGATTTATTCATTAGACCTGACATTACTGCATGTATTGATTACTTACCTGGTTGCCATCCAGAGGGTAGTCATGTTTGATGGAATACACTTTAGCTACAGAAAAGGCTACAGCAAAGCCGACAATTGCAATGGAGAAGCCGTCACCCACACAGCTTTGGAAATAGCTTATATTTGGTGCAACAGGAGCCTGAAACCTGAAAGTGAAGATGAAATCAGAGGTGGGCTTAAAAAGGGGCTCCACATGCAATATTTTTGGCATGCTAAGAAATGAGTAACTTCCTGCTCTCTACTAACATATGTATATAAGGATTGAACACAAAGTACAGACCTGGCAGGCCAAGAGTGATGAGATGTGGAATATTGGGCCAATCTTTAAAAAACAAATTTAAAACCAGTTGAGAGTCCTGCTAGATGTTGGATTTGCACTTGCATTTGATGCTGGTCAAGCTGAGGTCTTCTGGTCCCCCTAGGGCAGGGGTCCTCAAACTTTTTCCACAGAGGGCCAGTTGAAAGGTACCGGCGGTGGGTGCGGGCCGGTGAAGGGGCAAGGGGTGTGCGTGCACGCGGCGAGGCAAGGGTGGGCGCGCGCAGCAAGGCAGCAGTGGGCATGCGTGGAGATCGTTTTCTCCGGGCGAGTCCAAAGCAATCTCTGTGTGAGCAAGCTGCCGCCCTGTGCCCGTGCACGCGGCAAGTCCAAAACCTCTGAGGCGGGCCGGATAAATGGGCATGGCAGGCCGGATCCAACCCACGGGCCATAGTTTGAGGACCCATGCCCTAGGGCATGTGAGTGCTCACTTTGTAAAAGTGGTAGTGGAAAAAAAATGGGAAGGAAAGAACAAAGTTGCAGCATAAAAGTTAACAGTGCACTTGTTTTAGGTGTGGATATATGTGAAGAAAATCTGGTGAGCTCTGTATTATCTGTGCCTCCTGCAGTTTTTAAGAAATCTCGTTTTGTAGTATCATTTTCCATTACTAAATCCAATTCTTAATCTAAATCCTGAGTCTTTTTCAATACTAGAGCCAGGTTATAAAATAATAATAGAGCAGAAGAACTTCTGGAGCACCTTGTATCAGTGCTTCATGACCATAAGCATAACTTAAAATCTATGATCTAAGGAAAGGGCTCCCAAGTAAGAAAACATAATTAGGCAGAGCTCCCTCTACTTGTGACACTGTCACATGGGGGATAGCCTGTTATATTGCCTTTCTTTTAATTTCCTATGAAGGCAAGGTGATATCTTCCCATCTGAAAGGAAGCTTTGATCTACTAGAGCTTTATTGTTGGCTATTTTTTTTTAAATTATGGCATGTATCCAATGGGTTAGATCCTAATTTAAGCAGCTTTCACTATAGTGAGTCTTCCTTGTAGGACCCATAGATTTTTTAAAAACAGTATTTTTAAATGGGTAGGGATTGTTCATGTCTTTTTTGTTGCTACTAGTTTTACTGTACGTTGTGTTTTTCTAAAATCGTGGCTCACCAGTGCTGTTCCCCAGGCTTATGTCATGTTCTAAAGTCCACACAGTGCTACAGAGGTTCCATAAACGTAAGACTTTGCTAATGAATTCCTCTAGAGGGAGTTGTAAAGCAACCATTTCCTAAACAGAAGTCACCTTCAGCACTTGGAAGAGTTTATTTGTTCCTGTTTCTCCACTGTACTTTTTTAAGCCCCAGAGATGATAATGTCTTTGTTCTGGAGATGCTAATCCTTTGTTCCACAGTCCATGCTATAATATTTGGATGGGTTTAGTAATGGGGCAGTATCCAGTGACAGCCAGTGTAGCATAGTGCAGGACTGGAACTCAGGTGATCTGGATTCTGTCCCCACTCAACCTATTCTACCTCACAGGGTTGTTGTTGTGAGGATAGGAGGAGAAGGAAGAGAAGGGTAAGGAAAATTATGTAAGCTGCCTTGAATTCCTTGAGAGGACATAAATATAAATATAATAAATATCCCTGCGCCTTCACTTATTCTGTTGCACTAATGGGGCCCACTGCTAGTGTGGAAGTTCCTAAGGCAACCTTGGAAACAACCTGAAAAAGCCATTTCTGGAATGGGATGAATGAGTGCAGCTTTCCTCTGCAAGCTCCACTGTCCTGCCCCATTCTGGAAGAAGGCATTTCAGTTCCTTCCCGGTTACTTCAGGAGCGGCTAGCCCTCTGGTGCAGTAGCAGCGGTTCCCTCTAGTGTTCGTGGACTGCTGGATTTTGCCCAATACCAGGCAGTTTTTCTTCTTGCCAAATTGTGGCAAAATGCCCTCCACATGAAATATAAGGCACCCTAACATGCCATTAACATACTTACCCTTTCTCTAGATTTCCAACAACATCTACTTTGAATTTTTCTTTGAAATTGAAAGCGTAGGATAGCCCAGCTGCAAGGATTGTCTAGAAAGGAGCACAACAGGTTTCAAAAAGATGGTTCTCTCTAGCCTTCAGTCTTGTATTAGGAGTCATTTACAGGCTTAAGGGTTTAACCTGCTGCTTTACAGAGCTGATTGTTGGAGGCAAAAATGCAACCTTTAGACAAAGCTTTTTTCTTCTGGCATTTGTATTTCTCTGCCTATCTATGTAGTCTATTAACCAGCCATGAGATGGCTGGTTTCAACCTTTCATGACGCTTTTGTTCCAGTTTGAAATTTCATATTCTAAAAAGCACTGGGAAAATGGCTGGAAAACATAAGAGAGGCTCTGGAAGAGGATAACATTCTGAAAGCTCCCTGCAAACTTCTGTGAGTTAGAGATCACGAGAGCACAATAAATGCCATGCATGGTGAAGCCCCTCTGGCATTTATCTTCAGGATACTGAACATTTGCTTTGCTATTTGCCTCTACATCATCAAATTTATCTACAAATAATAGATATTAGTATCAGCTAATATAGTTAATAATAGGTATTAGTATTGGCTAATAATAGTAATAATATCTATATTAGTATCAGCTAATAATAGTACAAGAAATAAAGAACTTAGCCAAGTCACCAAACCATTCCACTGTAACTTTACCTTGGGATGGCTTGGTAGTTATATTGACATAAGAGGACTGGCATTCCAGAATTGTCCAGTTTGAGATCATTTTTTGCATGACCCCATCAATAACATCTTAAAACAGATTTTGGAGCTTCCCATGTTAACTAAACCAAGATATAATGTCAGATGAAGGGATCTCCTTCACAAGACAGCTCAGTGCAGATTAATGAGGAATATACACAATGGTCTTGCTTTCTTCCTTCCAAACAGATTCAAAAAATATATTGTTTGCAACAGGACATAAAGCAAATTATGATTTTTTATTTTTAAATGATTGTTTTTCTCATTATTCAGTGGAAAAAGAAGATCCTTACCACAATGATTTCAATGGGGATAGGAACAGGAAGCTTGTTTTTATACCGGTCATTCATTTCCTTGACTACAGACACAACGGCCAAGACAATCAACGCAGTGACGAGGTCTGCAATGTTTGTATTTGTAATCTGCCCAAATATATCTCTGAAAGTCTGTCATACAATGAAAAAAGAAATACTGCTCCATGCATGTTGTTGCATAAGATGACAATGATGTACTTAGCACTTATATTTCTCATTTCAAGTATTCAAGGCACTCCACACATATTATATTACAGCAGCCTAGTCATATTATACCTGGTAAAGCAGAACCAGTGCGGTGCTGTGGTTATAGTGTCAGATCAGCACTGTGAAACTCAGCATGTGACCTTGAGTTGATCGCACTCTGTTTCACAGAGTTGAACCACAGGGGAGAATAATTTTACTATTATCCTCAGTATCAATATCATTATTATGACATACAGCTCTTCATTCTTAAATCACATGGCAGTGTACAAAATTAAGGCCACAATCCTAGGGCCATCTAGACATCCTATGGCCATCTAGTAGGTCCCTGAAATCAGTCCCATCCCCAACTTCAGAAATGCACTCTCAGGTTGGAGCCTGGACTCCATTTTGGAGCATCCTCCCTCCACCCTGGTGGAAAGAACAGCACTGGGTATGGCTCTGAGGTTGGAAGACTGACTTTGGAGCTGGAGGTTTGTGAGCAGGGAGGAAGACATGGATGGGAGGAATAAGGCTCGACCACAACATGATGTATTCTGGTGGCATCTCAGCCTCTTCTCCTCTTATGCTGGGGCAAAAGTCTTACGGTTGAAATGGGCCAGATAAGTCTTTTGCAGAGTGGGAGGATTGTAGAGGCAGCCTTTGCCTTTATGCTCCTTCTGCCATCCACAGGATGTCCATAATTCTCCAAATTCAGAGTTACAGTCATCCATTAAGACAACAAATAAATACAAACATTTAAAAAAACCCTGATGTGTGCTGTACTGAGCTTTTCAGAAGTAAAGTGAAATGTCAGAAAGAAATATTGTAGATTTGGGCCTGGGGAGGCTGAGAGAATTGTGGGTTGTGGGCTGGGAACAAACAATCCTTCAATACAAAAGGCGATTCAGTATTTAACAGTATTTCTTGTGGTTACTTTTTCAATATCTCATAATAAACAGAAGGAGGTGGGGGTGGGGAGAGAGAGAGAGAGAGAGAGAGGGAGCACTCTGAAGAATAATTACACAGGGCTTTCAAACACATACCCATATAATTCCCAATGGTTCATTATATCCGGGCACTTTTAGTTGAAAAATTAATTTCAGTTGGGACACAAAAACATGGATAGCTGCAGCAGTAGTGAATCCACTTATTAGTGACTGAGATAAATATATAACTATGAAGCCAACCTGTAGGATACCCAACAGCAGCTGGAACACAAAGAAATAAATGGCATTTGTATGGTAGTAAAACAGAAAAGAAATGGAAATCATGCTAGTCCTCTTTGTTAACATTACTTCATATCTATATAAAAAAGCACATCAGCTTTCCATACATTAAGCGCAGGCTATTTCATCATCTCATCAGGATTTAGATGCTTCACAAATTGTAATGAAAGCACCGCTCAAGGAAACAGTATTGCTTCAAATTTTCCTTTATCCAATGTACTGACTAGCACTACATGGCTAATGAATGCCAGTGATACTGCCACAGAGATGCATAAGTTGCATTGAGTTGTGTAATGCTCACACTGAGAATTTAAATTACTGCTTCTTCACCAAAGTGATACTTGGCTGTGTCCGTTTTGGGTGGGTGGTGGTAATATTAAACCCTGCCCATAAGTAATCCTAACAGCAATCCTCAAAGGCAGACCAATGTTATTATCATGCTCTACCAGAAAAATGCTGCGGAGAGATGGCAGCTCTCTTTAAGACACCTGGTGGGTTCATGGCTGAGCTGAAATCTGAACCAGAGAATTCCTGATTCATTGCATAGGCCTTTAACTACATGAGGCCATCTGCTCTTTCCCTAGATTTCCTCATAATCTTGTTAATCTTGCTTGATGAACTGTATCAGGTAAGATGCAAGGTGGCCATCTTGGCTGACTGATTATTCCTTCAGGATTCCGAGCAGCACTGTAAGCATATCAAAAAGCAGAGGCTTAACATATTTCCTCAAGCCATCTTGGAACCAGTCATTCATCAGGCCTTTTTCTGCAATGCATTTGCTTTCTGCTTGCCAAACTTTGTGGAGTGGTTTTATTTGGTGATCCAATAGTTTGACTGATGAGTGCATCAGAAATGGGTAAACAGATGAAAAAAACAGGTTGGGCAGTATCCAGTTTGGTATTAGTGCTAATGTAAATTCCTCAGAAAGCCCCTTGTACCAGTTACTGCTAGTGGTGTTGCACTAGAGGTCACTTGCCTTTGCATGATGTAGTTTGCATGAGCAGTAACACTGAATTGGATATTTCCCATTATGCAGAATTCAGCCCTTACCTGAAATATGCCAGCTAGCACAGTCACTGATGCTGCCACCATGATTCTTTGCTCAGTGATTGATGGGTCATCTGTTATTGTGCCATTGCTACCAGGTACTTCTGGAACTATCCTTAAAACGGCTCCTCCTACCATCAAGCTCAGCACAGGAAAGGGACCTGTGGGACATTAGCGTTGCATTAGGAAATGTTTACTGCTTGATTCAAAAGATTATGTCCATAAAAGAAGTGTGCACAATGCTCTCTTTAAGTGGGAAGGGTAAAGATTAAATCCTGCTCTCTCCATTGACCTTTCATCAAGAAGTTCTTGGAGCATTCGGGTGACACAGTGTTCTTCATCCTGATGTTTGTTTTATGGGCAACTTAAGTGGAATATTGGTAAAATCATGCATGCTACCAGTGATCCTGTTGTCCAACTGCTTCTCCTTATATAACCAGCACGGCACCAACCACATGCAAGATAGAGGTATTGGTAGGCTCAGGGGAACTAAACAATTATTAGTATTAATACTATGTAATTAAATTGATTTTTAAATTATGGTCAGGTTAAACATGCCCTTTATTTCCAAACATTTAATGGCATATGATAGGTTAAGTCTGCTGGTTTAATTAGGGCTAGTTTTAATGTAAATGTTTTAGATATTAAACTGTTTTATATTTTGGAATATTGAAATTTTTAGCGGTTTTAAATTTGCACACTAGATTTCTATACTGTATCCTATTATATCTTTTGTATTTGTTTAATTGTTGTGAACCACCCAGAGAGCTTCAGGGTGGTAGAAATGAAGTAATAAATAAATAAACCCAACATTTTGCATAAATATATAAACTCTTCAGACAGCTATCCATAGGGAAGGGGGACCCACCCACAAACTGTCCAATGAGGACAGGATGCCTAGTGGTATTGGAGTGCTGACTGCCTGTTGAGGGTGGAAAACTGGACAACTAGAGGGTCATGATGTCAGCTAAAGACCCCATAAACAACCATGAGTAAGACCCATGAGCATGTAATCGATGCTTTGTGCAGGAAAGGTATTATACATTTTGTTGCAGGCCCCACTCCTTCTTTGTATTTTACTTGTGGGCTAGAAACCTATGCTCGGCAAAGAACCTTGGAATTCAGCCGTTTACACAATATTTTTAGCCAAGTAGATTAAAGCCACTTCAGAATAGCAAGCCCTGAGGTTTACATGTGGCTCAAACAAGAGAGAGCTTTAGGGTTATGTGTCCTTCATCCACAATGTAGTAAACCAGGCCTGTGATACTAGGGCTACTCGCACAATTTGTTTGTTTATCTATTTATGGCCACACATGGATGGCATGAATGGGACTTGCTTGCATAGGTAGCTGTGCATGCATGTAAACTCTGGCTTATGTTAAAGGTTCTTCAAACAGTGAGAAGAAGCATAAGCCTGAGGTTCACTCCTCTGCTCCCCAACTACACATGGGGTCCATTCATCAGTAGTCCCTCAGTCGAAACAGCCAACACTGAGTCTCTGGTACATGAAAAAGTCCATGAAGTCCATGAAAAAGTGGGGTGCATCATTCAGTTCTGCCTTAGGAAAGGCTTTTTATAAATGTGTGCAGAATATTTTCCAGCATGAAGATATATAGAGCATACATTGTTCTGCATGTATGCATCTAAACCCTTGGACCTTCACATTCCATTCATATTCTTTATTTTATCTGGTGAGATCTGCAAAACATATCCTACTCCTATATATTAATATTGATATTGCTGCATGAGATTCTAGTGGGGGGAATCTGTGATGGAGTGTAACATATTGTTTTATGATTTTACATGGTACAGTATACCTATGTTAGAGCCACTAACTGGAACGATCTGCAGGGGAAACAGTTTTTAGAATTGGTTCATGTCCACAACATGTTTTATTGGGAGTTTGATTGAAATCTTGGAGGACATAACACAGTCCAATGGTTCACTGGGATATAGTTCGACTTACCCACTGATATATGTCTGGAAGTGCCAAAGAAAAAATATATAATCACTGGGAAAAAGGCTGCATAGAGTCCATATCCTGGAGGAATATTCACCAGCAAAGCAAATGCTAGTCCTAAAATGATGGAGAAAACCATGTAAATCACATTGATAAACACTTCCGCCACACTAGTGGAAAAAAATGTCAGTTTAATGCGGCACTAGCACTTGTTCATGCAACTAGAAATTAACTCCAATTAGTACTTCCAAGATGGGACAAGTCAATGTAGTAACCTATGAAAGGAAGCTCCACTGAATGATGTAAGGCACTTTGAAATCTTTAAAAAAAGAAAGAAGTAGGATATAAAATAGATAGATAGATAGATAGATAGATAGATAGATAGATAGATAGATGTCCTATTCCAGAAGTGTTATTCCAGATTAGTTTCTGAGGGTGGAAAGAAGTGATTTATCAATGTTTACCTTGTAGGATAGCTACCAGCCCTGTGCTAATTCCTGAAACAATGTCACTGAGAATCCAGTCCTTCCAGCGGTATATAGATAGCCAGGAGATGATGGGGAACAAACGAACAGCCACTTTCTTTGCTCTTTGAGATGTGCAGCTGAAAAGACAGTAGTTTAAATAGCATTCCTCATCGAAGCATAAGGATTATAATTAAATTAAAGGAGTTTAATTTAAATACATGTTACTGTGGCTTAGACTACAATGAATAATTTTTCAGCAGAAAAGTTTAAGTAGAAGCAAAACTATCTGCAAGATCACTGTGTATCAAACACTCTTCCCAGAGACTGTAATTTTTTTCATGAGTAACAAAATTATTTAATAGAAAATGTAGTTTGTGGATGCAGAATGGAGCCAGAATTGGGCCACTGAGAAAGAGGAAAGTATCACTGTATTTGGGGAAACCAAATCAGTGAGGAGTGAGCATGCTCGATTGCAATGGATGTTGAGTATCTATTGGGAGAGAAAAATGAAAAATGGGGTCTGGTGGAGGAAAGCAATCTCGAAAGAGGGTGCTGAATTGGAGTGCCCACTTTGCACTGCAGAATGTTGTTCCAGGTCCCATTTATTAATCTATCATTAAGCCCAAAATCTCCAAGGGATTTTATAACAACACAGTAATACAACAGTACATGGTACAGCCATTTAAACACACCTAGTGCTCTCTCACTTTTAATGAGTAAACCTGACAATATGGAAGCTGATATCTGTTCTTACATCATTATTATGCCCATAACCTTCAAAACCACAACAGCTGAAAGTGTTGATGGGACTGTTATCTGCGTGCCTGCAAAAGTTTCACCTCTGCAATTTCTGCTTTTATGCAGTTTCTAATGGCACATATGCCCCAGCAAAAGAGGGGGGCTCCTGCTACTTCACTGCTTCGGTAAGATTCAGGAGGCTGTCTTATTCCTGGCCATTAGGTGGAGATCTGGAAGCAATGGGTCTGCCATGCTTAGGTTCATGATGGAAGCATTTTGCCTTCTTGTGGCACTCAGCAGCCACAGTATGAGCCCTCCCACTGAACTGTGTGGTCAAAAAGCAGCCTGGCTGTGCTTTCAGACCTGCAGGAATGGGTTCAGCCCTGACTGGGCTCAACCCGAACCCTTCCCCCACTTTTGAGGCACCTGTTCCCCCAACATTTTTGAAGTAACCACATTCCTCAGCAGGTTTTTGAGGTAATTGTATTCTGAGGTAATTCAGTTTGGGCACCAAACTTGCAGTAGTGGCACTGTGGTTGGGCAATGCAATGCCTTGCTCGCCTCCCATTTTTGAAGCAACTATTTCCTCACAGTAACACTATTTTCAACAGGTTTTTGAGGTAAATGTATTTTAAGGTTATGTTGTGGGAAGTTTTAAAATTTTGTTTTCATACTTTTATTTATTACAAAAAAAATGTGTATGTCACTCCGTTACAGAAACTTCTCTGGGTGTTATTTGCAATAAATAATACAATATTCATCCTATAGAAAAGTTTACAACATATATACTTTATTTTTAAAGTCTTATTCCTTCCACTTTCTGACCTGTTTGAACATCAGGAAATGGCAGTTATAAAAGAAATACTGAGGAGGAGGGTGGATAAGCATATTTGAGAAATGTGGTAAAGATGCCTTCCACAGGCTTTATTAAATTCCACCTCTAGGTCATCTTATCTGCCCCTTAGGCTCAACACACACACACACACACACACACACACACAGAGAGAGAGAGAGAGAGAGAGAGAGAGAGAGAGAGAGAGAGAGAGAGAATAAAGCCAATGCTTTTTTTTTAAACTTAGCCTGGTTAGTCTTTGATGGTTTAACCCAAGCCATTAAAAGCCCAACCCAAGTATATTATTATCATGTATCCAGAGCCTTCAGGGGAAAGGAGTTCTACAACAGTGGGACAGCCATCAGAAATACACTTCTTTCTTCTTATTTGAATGTGACACATGACTAGAGTAATTTAAAATATTGTTTTAGGGCTTGTTCTAAATAGTGTTTTAGAACATGAAGGGGAGTCGGGTCTCTGAAAAGAGTAGGGCTGAGACCTTTTTATTTGCCGAACTAATAAAATTGCCTCTGAAAGTGTGGCTCAATAACTTTTAGGTGGATTAAGACTCCTCATTAGGATGTGTATGGGTCACAGGGAACATTATACATATGTACATACATATTAAACAGGAGAATTTATTTATTTATTTAGAAGGCTTCTGTGCCACCCCATTCGCCGAAGCCTCGGGGTGGCTCACAATAATAAATAAATAAGAACAGAATAAAACAATATAATATGAGTCGACCTGGCCCGAAAAATAACATAAATAAATAATATTAACAATTAAAATAGCATTTGAATAAAAAGGTCTTTGCCTGGCGCCGAAAAACAAATAAGGATGGTGCCAGGTGGACCTCTCTGAGGAGCGCATTCCATAGATTGGGCACCACCACAGAGAAAGCCCTCCTCCAAGTACCTATCCTCCTAATTTCCTTCACGGAGGGTTCCCGGAGAAGGGCCTCTCCTGCTGATCTCAAGGGGTGGGCGGGCATATATGGACGTAAGAGCTCCTTCAGGTAGCCAGGACCCAAGCCGTTTAGGGCTTTATAGGTCATAACCAACACCTTGAATTGGGCCCGGACTTCAATGGGGAGCCAGTGAAGCTGGCTTTTTTATTATAATTATAAACATCATTATAAACATTATTATAGATAATAAACAGGAGAGATTTGAGTAGCAGGTGGCAGGTTTTAGTATATGCACCAAACTATCAGAATGAAAAGCAGTCCTCTGTGCCATTTCTTTTTGTTTCTTCTTCTTTTCTCTCAGGCTGCTAGAGTGGAAAATGCAAGACCCACTGGAACAACTTATAGAAAATATTTTTTGGAAAACCAGCCAAGGATAGTGGCATGACTGAAAACAGAGGAGAACAACCCATTGCATGTAATACTTGGCTTCCAACAGCATTGTGCACATATATTTGCAATTATAACAAAAAGATCGAAAGAGGGGAAACTACAAACAGTAATACTCTTAGCAACATTTGCAATGGAATGTCTCTTACCTAAAGCGTACTCTGAGATGATCCGCAAAGGTTTTGTGGTATCTGTGCACTTTCTGATGCTCTTCATCAAATAAAAGCTCTGAATACACTGAACGGGCCACAACATATTGGTTGCCTACAGGTTCAACCATTTCTCCAGAAATTACTTCCCTATGACAGCTTTTGAATTCTTTTTATCATTAATCACTTAAAGTCACCTGAAAATAAATAACAGAGTGTGCTTTTAAAATAACTTAGTATCATGAGGCCCACAGATGAATGAACTCCAAATTGAGCATTACCACCTTTGAAGTTTAAACAGCATGACTAAGACATTGAAACTTAGTTTTTCTAATTACTGTCCTTATCCTTTCTCATCACTTTCCAAAGTGGTATATCTCTGGGGGGAGATAAAAAAAATGCACCCTCTTATACAAAAGTGCCTTAATAATGGATATATATATATGTCAACATGCAGAAGATGAACTACTTAGTTGTGGGTCAATCGCTTAAAATAAAACATGTTCAAAAAGCCAGCCCTGCTTTCTGTTATAATGGTGTGGAAAATGAACATTGTTGGCTTTTGGAAAGACTTAAGTGCTGACCCAGGCCCAGATTTAAGGTTTGATTGTCTTCATACTTTAGGACATTCATGAACTGGAGCCCAGGTTTCCAGATTTGGACCTATTGAAATTTATCAATAATAGCCAAAATAATTTTCTTTGAGTGGCTTCTAGAAATGGAGAAAGCACAGGCAAGAAGCTCATGTGTATTGCTGGAGATAATTGTACTTGTTCCATCAATTTGCCATTAAAGGCTACTGTCATGTTAAATGAAACATGTTCTTTTCGAAAGAGTAAGAAGCTGTTCTGTGGATCTCTGGCAGTCTCTGGAAGGGAATGTGGTTAGATCCATCAGCTGCGTCCCTATCTGGAGAACGACTCCCTGGCGACAGTGACCCACGCGTTGGTAACTTCCCGACTAGATTTCTGTAACGCGGTCTTGTGAGCCTCCCCGAGGCTTTGTTGCGATGGGGGTGGCATAGAAATGTTTTAAATAAAATAAATAAATAAATACATGGGGCTACCCTTGAAGATGGTCCGGATACTTCAATTGGTGCAAAATAGAGCTGCCAGGTTGCTGACGGGGAATGGGCGTTGTTTTCATATAACCCCAGTTCTCCATCAGCTTCACTGGCTCCCTATTGAAGTCTGAGCCCAATTCAAGGTGTTGGTTATGACCTATAAAGCCCTTAACGGCTTGGGACCTGGTTATCTAAAGAAACGTCTGCATCCATATATGCCTGCCCGCCCCCTACGATTGGCAGCGGATGCCCTTCTCCGGGAACCCTCCATGAAGGATATTAGGAGACAGAGTACCCGGAGGAGGGCCTTTTCTGCGGTGGCGCCCCACCTATGGAATGCGCTCCCCAGAGAGGTCCGCCTGGCGCCATCATTATTTGCTTTTCAGTGCCAGGCGAAGACCTTTTTATTTAAAAGTTATTTTAACTGTTAATTTATTATTATTGTATTTATAGATTTTAATATATAGCTGAGATGGTACCAGTTTTTAAATTATTGATTGTATTTTTATGTCTGTTGTGAGCCGCCCCAAGGCTTTGTTGCTATGGGGGCAGCATAGAAATGTTTTAAATAAATAAATAGATAGATAGA